ACAACTTGGATATTTTAAAAAGTAAACTCACAGAATAAACTTTCACAAGCACTGAAACTTTCTGGGTCACTGCTAATCGAAGGAAAGAGAAAGAAGTGAGTACTCAGCCGGGCGGCAGTGGAGCACACCTTTAATCCCAGCACTCTGGAGGCAGAGCCAGGTGGATCTCTGTGAGTTCGAGGCCAGCCTGGTCTACAGAGCGAGAGCCAGGACAGGCACCAAAACTACATGAGAAATGCTGTCTTGAAAAACAAAAACAAAAACAAAAACAAACAAACAAAAGAAGTGAGTGCTTTCTGAATCAGAAACAACAAAAATCCCATTTCCTGGGCTACGCTGCCGCTCAGTTAGCAGAGTGTTTACTCTGCAGGAACAGAGCTCTGAGTTCAATTCCCAGCACCACATAAAGCAGGCCTGGCAGCCTACAGTTGTAATTCCAGCATTAGGGAGGTGGAGGCAGAAGCATCGGAGGTTCGAGTTCATCTTCATACTTCATAGTAAGTATGAGGCCAGCTTATGATACATGAAACTGTATCCCAAGAATAAATGAATAAAGTGCCGTTTTAGACAAATGTTATTCAACGCTCCTCATTCAATCTACAAGTACAGATCAGAACATAAGCCAGGTCAAAACAGCCCGGCACAATAAAGCCTTATTATACGAGGCCCTAATGCTTCTCTAAGAAGCTAATAGAACAGGAAAGCCTAAAACAAAACAAAAGGTACTAAGGGGGCTAGAGAGAGACAGTTCAGTGGACAAATTGTTTGCTACTTACTGCGAGGATGACAAACCATGAATTTTTGTACTACATAAATGTGGCTTAAAGGGCACAACCATCTGATGTCCACAACTCACTTCTGCATTTACAGTTTTTATAATGTCTGAACACACTTCTACCTTCACGAGACAACACTGAGGTGTATTCTAATGTCCATGACCTGATGTTTTAGAGACATCAATATAAGAGGGAAGTACATGGGGCTGGAGAGATGGCTCATAGATAAGAGCACTGACCTCTTCCAGAGGTCCTGAGTTCAATTCCCAGCAAACTACATAGTGGTTCACAATCATCTGTAATGAGATCTGGCGCCCTCTTCTGGCAGGCAGGCATACATGCAGGCAGAACACTATATATAATAAATAAATACATCTTTATAAAATAGTTCTTTTAAAAAAAAAGAGGGAAGGACTTTTTTTAAAGTATATTCATTCATTCATTTATTCATTTATTTATTGGAGAGGGGCTCATGTGGGCTACAGAGGAAACATGGCAGTCAGTGGACTCAATTCCCTCCTTCCACCACATGGATTCCAGGTATCCAACTCAAGTCATAAGACTTGGTGGTAAGGTGTTCTTCCCAGGTGAGCCATTGTTGGAGAGGTTTTCTCCCACCAGCCAGTTCCCAAATAACCACACAGAGACTTATTATTAATTATAAATGCCCAGCCAGTAGCTTAGGTTTGTTACTAATTAGATCTTACAACTTAAATTAACCAATATTTATTAATTTGTGTGCTGCCACATGGCTCATGGCTTGTTACCTCATATTCTACACGTCCTCCCTCCTCTCTCCATCTGGCTGCCCCCCTTCTTCTTCCCAGCATCTTTTCTGCCCTGAAAATTTTACCTAGCTATTGACTGTTCAGCTTTTTTGTTTGTTTGTTTGTTTGGTTGGTTGGTTGGTTTTTTGAGATAGGGCTTCTGTGTATCTTTGGAGCCTGTCCTGGATCTCACTCTATAGACCAGGCTGGCTTCGAACTCACAGTGATCCATCTGGTTCTGCCTCTCGAGTGCTGGGATTAAAGGCGTACGCCACCACTGCCTGGCAACTATTCAGCTTTTTTATTAAATCCATCTGAGTAACAAATCTTCACAGTGTACAAAAGGATTATTCTACAGAAGCCATCTCACCCACCAGAGGGAAGGAAGTACTTTTAAAAAGTACTTATATTTATTATATATGTATGAGTATTTTGCCTGTGTGTATGTGTATACACCATGTGTGTGCAGCACCCATGGAGGCCAGAAGAGGGCATCAGATCTCCTGTAACAGGAGTCACAGAAGCTTGTCAACTGCCTCGTGGGTCCTCTGCAAAAGCAACAAGTGCTCTTAGCCAATGAGACATCTCTCCAGTCCCAATCCCAGCCTTATTAGTCTATCCTAGTAAGCTACCTCACATCTATTTAACAACTTCCATTGGTTATTTTCAAATGGTTTATATCCCTTGGTACAAAGTGTATTCAAGCTTTTTGTAAAAAGTAGAGCATTGCTGGTCGGTGGTGCCATACACCATTAATCACAGCCAGCCTGGTTTACAGAGCAAGTTCCAGGACTGTTAGGACTACACAGAGAAACCCTGTCTCGAAAACAAACAAACACAACAAACAAACAGTGTTATTTATTTATTTATTTAGTAAGTAATGGTAGGGATTGAACTTTGAGTATCTTGTGTGCAAGGCAAGAGTTCTATTATTGAGCTGTCCCTAGTCCATGGCTTATCTTTATTGAGACCAGTGAGGATTTTTTTTTTTTTTTGTATATTCAATACTGGACTTTTGTTAATTATATGCTTTGCAACTATTTTATCCTGGTCTGTGGCTTGCCTTTTTGTTTATTATTCATCTTATTTTATTTATTTTAGAATCAAAGTTTATTGAGAAGTAATGAAACAACTCCTTGAAGCTGGAAAGGAACTTGAAAATGTGTTGAATTCACCTTTTTTTTTTTTTTAAAAAAAAAAAGATTTATTTATTATGTATACAGTGTTCTGCCTGCATGTATGCCTGCACGCCAGAAGAGGGCACCAGATCTCATTACAGATGGTTGTGAGCCACCATGTGGTTGCTGGGAATTGAACTCAGGACCTGTGAGAGAGCAACCAGTGCTTTTAACCTCTGAGCCATCTCTCCAGCCCGAATTCACCTTTTTATTTATATATGATTTTAAAGCACAAAAGCTTAATTTTGGTGACATGCAATTGTTGTTGATTTTGTTTGTTTGTTTTTACTCTTAGCTCTTTGGGAGGACCCACCACTCAGCTCCCAAATAAACACACTGAGACTTATTATTTATCATGAATGCCTGGCCTTAGCTTGGCTTCTTTCTAGCCAATTTTCTTAACTTAAATTATCCTGTATACCTTTTGCCCCTGGGCTTTTTTCCTTCTCTATTTTCTATAATTTTCTTTACTTCTTACTCCCTGGCTTGCTGTATAGCTGAGTGGCTGGCCCCTGGTATCCTCTCTCCTCCTTCTCTCCCTCCTCCCCTTTCTTCAGCCTAGATTTCTTCTCCAATTTATTCTCTCTGCCTGGCAGCCCCGCCTATTTATCTCTCCTGCATAGCTATTGGCCATTCAGCTCTTTATTAGACCAATCAGGTGTTTTAGACAGGCAAAGCAACACAGTTTTACAGAGTTAAACAAATGCAACCTAAAAGAATATAACACATCTTTGCATCATTAACCAAATATTCCACAGCATAAATAAATGTAACACATCTTAAAATAATATTTCACAACATGCAATTATTATTATTATTATTACTATTATTATTATTATTATTATATTACCAGACATCGTCTGGCTGGTCTATTTTTTGTTTGTTTGTTTGAGACAGGGTCCCAATCACTATGTAGCTCTGGCTGCTCTGGAACTGTGTAGACTAAACTGTTCTTGAACTCACAGCCATACTCCAGTTCCAGCCTCCAGAGCAAGTAAGAATACAGGTGTGTGTCACCACAACTGGGTTGTAATTCGTCGCTATTTTTTAATGTTATAGATTCTATATTTGAAAGGCATAGATTTTTTCCTCCTGTTTTCTTCTGTATGTATCGTAATTTAAAAATGTTTGCATTTAGGCTGGGCGTTAATGGCGCGTGCCTTTAATCGCAGCATTTGAGAAGCAGAGGCAGGTGAATCTCTGCGGTCTACAGAGTGAGTTCCAGGACAGCCAGGTCTACACCGAGAAACCCAGTTTGGAAAAACTTAAAAAAAAAGTTACATTTAGGTTTAATATGGGTGTGACCCATGCGTTTGGCTTTTAGAAAGCAAGGACGATGTCTGGAGGGTGATAGCCCGGGGCCCTGGAAGGAGTGCAACTTAGAGACAGATGGTGGCTTCTGCTAGTGATAGGGGAGGAAATACAAACAGTAGGGGGTGTGGACATTGACGGTCTGGGAGTAATGGGCTGGGTTCTTTAATTTCACACATTGAGGGTAATTGTTTCTAAGTTTTTTTGTACTTCAACTGGCTCTCAATAGTTTGAGACACAGACTGTAGAAACACTACACGTGCATCATCAGCTCCTTTCTTGGGCATCACCAGGGAATCTGCTCCTGAACGTGTCCTCCCAAGCCCAGAGACCTTCGCCTCGCTCAGAACTAGGCAAGCTGCCCAAATCCATTTATGTGCAGCGCAGGGGCCGCGGGCGGCGCATGCCCAGACCCGCAGAGTTGGGGGCCAGGCACCGCGCAGCGGAGGGCCGGCAGTTCCCGCCATTTTGTCCCGGTCGCCACACAGCTGGCCACTGCTGGCGACTACAAGTCCCGTGAGCCTCCGCGGCTGCACTTCCTCCCCTCACTGTCCAGCCTGCTCCCTCCGCCCCCCTCCCCTGGGGCCGAAGGCTCTGGCTAGAGCCAGCCTGCCGGAGACCAGGTAGGATTTCCGGGAGAAAGTGCTGTGGAGCCTGAGGAGGCAGCGGTGGCCACCTAGGTGAGTTTCTCCCAGCTAGGGAAAGTGAGCGACTGGCGCGCGCTGCGGCCGCGGTCTCGGCTCGCCCGAGGGTCGCGGGCCCGGCCGGGGTCCCGGGGTAACGGCGCGGGCGGCGGTCCGTGCAGCCAGGGCGTGGCGGGCCGTAGCCTCCTCCCTCGGCCCTCCCACAACGGTCCCGCCGCGGTGTCCCCGCCTGTGGCCGGGCCCGCGCAGACTCGCGCTCTCCGCCCGCCCCCCCCAGCCTCCGCGGGGCCCTTTTGTCTGCGCCGCTTTGCCCCCTTTGTGGCCGTGCATGGAGCCGCGGTCTCCCGGGGGAGCCCACAGGTCCTGCCGGGCGGGGACCGCTCCCTGGGGTTCCGGTTACGGTAACTGGATCGGGTCAAAGTCCATCTTTCAAAAGTGACCTCCCTCAGACCTCTGCATCCCGGCGGAGCAGAACGGAGGCTTTGGAGCCTGCCTGGCATAGTTTCAGTGGAAACCTGGAAGTTATTGTCCAGGTCCTACATGTCAGCCTTCGGCAGCTAGGGACCAGAACTCGAGGCGCCTTTCTCCTCCAGAGGATGGTGTCTAAGAAAAAGAAGTGAGACTTTGGGAGTCCCAACCCCGGAAACTGAGAAAGAGTGGAATTTACTGCGATATGTGGGGCAGCTGTGAGGGGGGGTGGGGGGTGGGCAAAGAACTCAAGTGAATCGTGGCTTTAGAAACCTGAAAATCGAAGGAGAGTGATTTCTGGGGCGTCATTCATCGCCTGCAAACGCCTGCAAATAGTCTTTGGCGCTCCATTCGCCCACACGGCTCCTCGATTCCCCAGACTGCATCCTTTTTCTTTTTTAAAGAAAAAGTCCGTTCACTGAAGAACGTGCTTTGTAGAGAAACCTAGAAACTCAGTGTATTCTAGAAAGCAGGTTGGTTTGTTTTTACCAGGTAAAAAGAATGAAGGCTGTTTAGGGGAGGGAAGAGAATAAAATGTATTCTTTCGGGACACCGCTGAATTCGTGGATTTGATCCAGTTTGGTCAGATAGTAACTGTATGTCCAGTCAAAGACCCCATCGCGAGACTTAGCATAGGGGTAAAGCTTTATAAAGGCCAAGGTCGGTACCCCTTTGAAAACTGGTTGGTATTTCAGATTCCTTATAGGGAAGACAATTGGGACTCCTTTACATGAACCAGGAAAGGTGTTTTGAGGCTAAATTCCCACCCTAGACATGTAGGCAAATAAAGTCTCCATTATTCGGTTTGGCATTTCATAGTGGAAATGACTTTGAGACTCTCAGATTGCATTAATGTTGTGTAGAGATGGAAGGTCCTTAATTCAGGCTGTGTCTTTCCTAGAAAGTTGTGGTGGCACATCTCTGTGACCCCAATACTTGTGTGGCTAAGGGAGATTCTGGGTTGGAGACCCAGCTAGAACTATGTAATCGAGACCTTTATCTCAACAATCAAATCAAATCAAGTTTTCTTAAACGTGTGTGGGGTGGGGGGTGGGGCCAGTGCAGGTGTGACTTTAGAGACCACCTCTGTGGAGCTGATTTTTTTCCCACGTCCCTTGGGTTCCTGGAATGGAGCTCAAATGACCAGGCTTACACAGCAAGAGCCTTTACATTCTCAGCCATTTCGCTCGCTCACATTTTTTCCCCTTTTTCTCGGGCTAGGACTGGAATCCAATATCCTGACTGTGTAGCACCTGCTCTGCATGGTGCTTACACCTCTAGCCCCGGCTATTCTTCAGTTTTCGGAAATGCACATTTATTTCTTTGAGATTGGGTTGCTATGTAGCCTAGTCTGGCCTTGAACTCTCCTATCCCGACTTTGTCTCGCCAAGTGCTAAGATTATTATGGTTGTACCATCACACCTAGCTCTTAAATTCTGAATTTATAGCGGGCTTACTACTTTCTGGCTTATTTACTCAAACATGATAGTGCTGTCCATGTTTTTGAAGAGCTGTGTACATTGTATGTCCCATTAATACACATTGTGTAACTATTATATCCTCACAATTCTGTGAGGTATTGGGTTTCACTTTGCATTTGATACAACCTTGCCAAAATGTTAAATGACTAGCCCAAAGCCATACAGCTAGCCCAGGTAAGAAAGCTGACCTAAATATAACTAGCAAGCCTACCACTTTCTGTTACTTCAAATTTAATGCAACTACTAATCATAATTCCCCAAACTGCTTTAATGTTCTGATCTGAATATTAGAGAAAAATTATGGAAATATTTTCCAGCCTGAACAAACTGACTTACAAGGAACTGAAATTCATAGAACCATGAAGTCTTTTCCATAAGCCTTTCTGAAGATTACTGCCTTCACTCCGGCTTGATTATCCTGTATCTAGACAGAATAACAATTTTATGGAGCCTTGGGGACTTGAGGCTAGCATGGTCTTCATAACAAATTTCAGGTCAGCCAGAGCTACCCAGTAAGAACCATGTTCCAAAAAAAAAAAAAAAAAAAAAAAAAAAGAAAAGAAAAAAAAAGAAAAGAAAAGAAAACAGAATGTGATTAAAGGTTTATTAAGATTAAGAAGTATGATGGGTAAGGCCGCTTTGGTTCCTGAAATCTCACATTGAACTCAGTGTGCTTTTTTTTTTAAAGAGTATTAAGACTTAGGAAAATGTTTTCTTAATTTCTTTGCTTAGTAAAACCGTTTGATCAGACTAAGCCTGCAGTTTAGTCTTGGTTTTCTGTCAGTACATGCCGTGAATGTGACATCAGAAATAGCAGCCTACTTCAACTCTCGTACTTAAATTGTTAAGTAAAATGCGTAACATTCCAGTGGAATTGAGTCAGGGTAATTAGTCTAGCTTCTTTGTCTTATTATTTTCTTTTTAAGATAGGATCTTGCTGTGTAGCACAGGCTAGCCTCATATTCTCACTGCTGTCTCAACCTTCTCAGTGGTGGATTATAGACTAGTTTAGCCTTTTAAACTGATAGATGCCTGTTTTAAATCTATTTTGTTTTGATACTGTAGTGAGGAAGAACTTGTTTTTTTCTTTCTTTCCTTCTTTCTTTCGCTCTTTCTTTCTTTCTTCTATTTTTTAAATGTTGGTGTACTTTATTTCCAAATCCATCCTTTTACTCATTCAGCCATGAATGAAAGTTAAGACTCGGCCCTGAGGACAAAGCAGTCAAGTGTTTTCGCCTCTTGGGTTCTACAGACTTTACTGACTGACATTGACTTGGGGAGGAAGAGAGACAGACAGTAACTACAACCAAATAAGAGTCTCAATCACTGTACAGTCAGTTCACCTAACCTCTTTTATTTTTAAAATTAACTTGTTTTGTTTGAGACAGGCCCTTGCTATATATAATAGCACACACTGGTCTGATACTCATTATGAACCTGAAATGATCCTCCTGCCTCAGTCTCAAAAGTACTGAGATTAGGCCTGTGCCACATGCCTGGATTATGGCACATGCCTGAGTCTTAGTTTCTTCCTTTACCTGATGGAATGTTTCCAGGAGCAAGTGGCCTGAGAATCTTTCTGTTGTAAGCTGCTGCTGCTTCTAGAAAAGGAGAAGGGAGTGGGTGGACACTGGACCAAGAGTCTGTCCCCTTGTAAAACTTGGAGGTCTTTTTTGGGGGTTTTGGGGGAGGCTGCCATGTTGGCATGCTGGGGCGTATATAGATGGGCAAGTTCAATATTCCCACTCCTTCCCTTGTATCTTTTGTTAGTGTTTGCTTGGTTTTTGAGATAGGATTTCTCTGTGTATCCCTGACCATCCTGGAACTCATGCTGTAGAGAAGGCAGGAACTAATTTTGTAGACCAGGCTGGCCTCAGACTCATAGAGATCCACCTGCTTCTGCTTCCTGAGTGCTGGGATTAAAGGCCTTTGCCACCACTATGTGGCCCCTTGTATCTTTGGTTTTTCCAGACATCGTTTCTCTGTGTAGCTTTGGTGCCTGTTCTGGATCTCGCTCTGTGGACCAGGCTGGCCTCGAACTCACAGTCCTGGCTCTGCCTCCTGAGTGCTGGGACTAAAGGCTTGTGCCACTGTTGCCTGCCCAGCCCCTTGTATCTTAATAGGAGCTACCTCTAATCATTTATGGAGACATTTTCCCCCCAAAGTATTCTCTATTAAAGAAAGTTTGTTTTTATATATTTTTTTAATAATTTATTTTTATTTTATGTGCATTGGTGTTTTGCCTGCATGTATGTCTGTATGAGGATGTCAGATCCCCTGGAACTGAAGTTACCAACAGTTTTTAACTGCCATGTGGGTGCTGGGAATTGAACCTATGTCCTGTGGAAGAGCAGCCAGTGCTCTTAATTGCTGAGCTATCTTTCCAACTCCCTTGTTTTTATATTGTTACAGTTAATTGCCATAATGACAGTTATGACTACCACCGAGCTACATCTCCAGCACAGGATAAAGTCTTAATTTTCATGCATATTGCATAGTTCACAGTTCTTGGTATTTCTTTTTTCTTTTTCAAGTTTTTTTTTTTTTAATTTTATGTGTGTGTACTTGAGTGTATGCATATGCATCATGTGCATGCAAGTCCTATGGAAAAGGGCATTGGATTCCCTGGACCTGGAGTTATAGGCAGTTGTGAGCCACCTGAGGAAGGTGCTGGGAATCACCTGAATCCTTTGTAAGAGCAGCCAGTGCTCTTAACCACTCAGTCTGCTTTCCAGTCCCAGCTCTGAGTGTTCACTGGAACGCTCTCCCCTCATTGCTCAGTGAATGAATGAATGATGAAAGTGGGCAGGTACAGTTTGGAGAATATCAGAACCAAAATGGATTTTTTATCCAGCAGATATTTTTGTTTTGCTGTTGTATGGTAGAGGCTGCATGTTTTTTTGTTTGTTTGTTTGTTTGTTTGTTTTGTTCTCCCCTCCCCCCCAGACAGGGTTTCTCTGTAGCTTTGGAGCCTGTCCTGGACTAGCTCTATAGATCAGGCTGGCCTCGAATTCACAGAGATCCACCTGCCTCTGCCTCCCGAGTGCTGGGATTACAGGCGTGTGCCACCACCGCCCGGCTGAGGCTGCATGTTTTATGAGCATACTGATGTAGTGGTATTTAGCCCAGACTTCAAAAACCTAAGGTATTACAAAATTATAACAGTGTACTAGAGATCCACTTAAAAAATAGATAGGGATTAGGGGCTGAGATGGCTTAGGCAGCAACCCTGAGTGTAGTTCCTGGGACCCAGAGAGTAGAGGGAGAGAACTAACGTTTGCATGCTTACCTCCACATGCATGCTGTGGAGAGAGAGACAGAGAGACAGAGAGACTGACTCTCTAAGTAAATAAATAAATTGGAGTTGTAGAGTTTGCTCTGCAGTTAAGAGCACTTTCTGTTTTTGCAGAGGATCCACATGGTGGCTCACAGCCATCTGTAAATCTAGGGGATCAGATGCCCTGTTCTGGCCTCTAAGGGCCCCAGGCTCACATGTGGTGCACATAAATACATATAGGCAAATACATACACATAATTTTTTAAATGAAAATAAAATTTAGATAAGGACTAAACTATTTTGTTTTGTTTGAGACTGGAGTTTTGCTTTGTAGCCCTTGTGGGCCTGGAAGTCACTGTATAGATCAGGCTGGCCTTGAAATTTTTTTTTTTTTTAAGATTTATTTATTTATTATGTATACAATGTTCTGTCTACATATATCCATACAACCTAGATGAGGGCACCAGATCTCATTATAGATGGTTGTGAGCCACCCTATGGATGCTGAGAATTGAACTCAGGACCTCCGAAGAGCTGCTGGTGCTCTTAACCTCTGAGCCATCTATTCAGTCCTGGCCATGAAATTTTAGTGATCCTCCTGAGTTCTGCGATTAAAAGTAAGCACCAATATGTCTGGTTTAAGAGTCTGTTTTGCACAGAGAAACCCTGTCTCAAAAAGAAGACAAAGCAAAAAGGTTCTGTTTTGATAAAGAGTGCAGGAAGGTGTTGTAGAAGGTATTGTTTTCCAGTACAGTTTTAGGTAAGGAGGACATCAGGAGGACATGTCATTCTCCAAGTCCTCCTCCTCCTCTACCATCTCCTTCTTGTAAGGGGTGTGTGTGTGTGTGTGTGTGTGTGTGTGTGTGTGTGTGTGTGTCCACAAGTACAAGACTACACTTGGGGGCTAGAAAGCAGCCGTGGCCCTTCCTCGGGTGTACACAGGTTTTGAGACTGGTTCTCCTTCCAGCCTGAACCAGATTTGTTTTTGTTTTCAAGTAAACATGTCTTCTCTGGTGGTCAGACTCAGATCATCATGGTTGGGAGACAGACTCCCCAGCTCTAGGAGGAGGGTGTAGTTTTGAGCATAAGAATGGAATGAGTGTAAAAATGTTTAGGGGAGAATGAGTGATCTGGAGTGCTGAGAGTACTTGGGTTTTAACATTTTGATTCTGATAATCCCTCTAGATAACTTGAACAAAGCCATGGTTCACCCTAGATGACTATACATAGCAAACATGCACATGGAGTATCAGTCACTTAGACTCCTGCACTGGTGTGGTGGCTCACACCCGTTATCCCAGCACCTAAGAGGCTAATTGCAGGAGGATTGCTGTGATGAGTTTGAGGCCACACGGAGGCACAATGTCCTAGGCCAATCTGGGCTACAGGTTTTTGAAAAACAAGCAAAAAAAGAAAAACAATTAGACATGATTTCTTTTAGTTCTTTTTGTGATGTTAGAGACCAAATCCCATGAAACGTGTTTTCTTTTGAGCTCCCCATAGCCCTTCTTTAACTCTTTAGAGGTTTTTTTGTAGCTTATTGTATTTTATTTTTGGTTTTTTGAGACAGGGTTTCTCTGTGTAGTTTTGGTGCCTGTCCTGGATCTCGCTCTATAGATCAGGCTGGCCTCGAATTCACAGAGATCCACCTGGCTCTACCTCCCGAGTGCTGGGATTAAAGGCAGGCGCCACCACCGCCCAGCCAGCTAGGATTTCTTGATTCAGCTTTTATTTTCCTCCCTCCCTCCCTCCCTCCCTTTCTTTTTGTTTTTTTTGAGACAGAATTTCTTTGTGTAGCCTTGGCTGTCCTAGAACTAACTACATAGACCAAGCTGTCCTCAAACTCATAGAGAGCTGCCTGTCTCCGCCTCCAGAGTGCTGAGATAAAAGGTATGCGCTACCACTGCCCCCACCCCTTTTTTGTAAGACAGCATTTTACCAGGTAGTCCTGGCTGTCCTGGAACTTGCTCTGTAGATCAGGCTGGCCTCTAACTCACAGAGGTCAGAATAATAACTCTGCCTTCCGACTGCTGGGATTAAAGAACCTGGTCCAATTCAGTTTTCTTGACTGCTTTTTTCTACTTGATTACAAGCCATACTTTCCTATTTATGTGTTGTCTCTTTCTTGATTTTTAAACCCTTTTTCTTTGGTTTTACACACACACACACACACACACACACACACACACACACACACACACCATGTATGTATGTATGTAAGGATATATGTATTAGGCATTTAAAATACTATAATGTGGCAGCCCTGAAAATAAAATTCTCTTTCTGTGGGTTTCTTTCTCTTTGTTTGGTGACTCTGCTGGGGTAAACCTGTAAAGTGTGTGTTCTTTGTTCTGGGTATCCACTGTAGTCTGCATTTGTTCGGCTTAGTGGTTAACTAATGATTAGACAGAGATTTCCTTATGTGCTGTGAACCAGTAAGTTATCCAGCTTTTGCTGAATGCTCTGGTAAGGACCTTACTACAGTGGCAGGGAGAGAAAACAGCTCAGGCTTAGGCCTTCACAACACCTTGCCCTCTCTTAAACTTAACAGTTTCATCAAGTTACCTAAATGCCCTCCATTAGGCCCTAGCTCTTAAAGGTTCCATTTCCTAGAACTAGCAACCTGGGGACAGGGTTCCTAACACATCTAAACCACAGTAGGCATCAACTCTGATAGCTTGATTCCACATTAACATCTCATTCTTTCCTCCTCAGAGCCCTATAGTATACTATAGTATACTACGGCTTGTGGGGTGATCTAGCCATCTTTGGAGCTGGGCTGCTCTGATGATTGACTCTTAGGAGTTTGTTGTTGGTTTTTGTTTGTTTTATTTTTTTTATTTTTATTTATTTATTTATTTATTTTGAGACAGGGTTTCCCTGTACAGCTCTGGCTGTCCTGGAACTCACTCTGTAGACCAGGCTAGTCTTGAACTCAGAGATCCACCTGTCTCTGCCTCCCGAGTGCTGGGTAAAGGCGTGTGGAACCACTGCCTGCCTTTCCTTCCACCTTGTTAAAGAAGGGTCTTTTGTTTCTGCTGTGCTGTGTACTCCAAGTGAGCTGGCCCAGGAGTGCCCAGGTGCTCTCGCCTCTGTCTCCCATTTCACCTTAGGAATGCAGAGCTTATAGATGCATGCCACTGCACCTGGTGTTTTCCATGGCTTCCAGGAATGGAACTCAGGTCACCAGGCTTGTGCAATAAATACTTTCATTTGCTGAACCATCTTATTAGCCTCCAGGTAGCAGTGTTCTCATTTAATAAGTTATATTTTTCAATAATTTTGTTTTGTTTTGTTTTTTTGAGACAGGGTTTCTATGTGTAGTTTTGGTGCTTGTCCTGGATCTCGCTCTGTAGACCAGGCTGGCCTCAATCAAACTCACAGAGATCCACCTGCCTGTCTCCCCAGTGCTGGGATTAAAGGCGTAAGCCACCACCACCCGGCTTCAATAATAATCAAGCTATATAATAAGTGTTAGTGAGAAACATACGAGATGGTAAATTTGACATTTTCAATATCTCATGTACCTTTTCTCTTTTTAGAAACTATTCCTCATCTCTCTACCCTGGTTAATAGTGGCATGGAAGATCCATTTGGTGAGTATGGCCTGCATTTTTATTGGTGCTTGTGCTTTGTCCGTACCTGTTACAGCTTTGAGGAAATTATCTCCTGCTCAATGTGCTGGTGTAGAACAGTGGCTCTCAGACTTTTTGCTCTCAGCGTCCATTTATATTCTTGTTTGTTAGCTTATTTTCTTGTTTATTTGCTTTTGAGACAGGGTCTCTCTACACAGTGCTAGCTGTCCTGGAACTCATTATGTAGACCAGGCTGCCTCACTCACCGAGATTCTCCTGCCTCTGCCACCATCCCCAGCCCTAAGGTTTGTTTGTTTTTTGAGACAGGGTCTCACTGTGGAGCTCCAGCCAGCCTGGAACTTACTATATAGACCGAGTTAATCTTGAACTCCCAGAGTTCCCTCTGCTTGCCTTCTGATTATAATATAATGCTGGGCTCCATTCATACTCTTACTATAATTGAGGGTCCTGACAACCTTCTGTTTGTTGACATTTGCTGTGTTGTAAATGATACCTGAGAGGATGGAAAGATGAGTCAGCGGTAAAAAAAAACAGATTCCTAATTATGTATATGCAGGCATTGTAAAACCTTACCACAAGCTATATCCTCGGGTCTAGGAAGTATATTTGAGATGGTAATTTAGTTTATTTTCTTCTGTCTTGCCCAATAGGCATTGATGTAACTGAGGCCAAACTCTCTGGACTCCCTGACCTGGTAGCCATAGTCAGGAAATCCAGGTGCAGTTTTTGCCTCGTGTTGAGAAGACTTTTGTTTAACACCTTGCAAGATAAGCGTTTTTTTTTTTGTTTGTTTTTTGTTTTTTGTTTTTTCCTGATTTTAATGAGCCTAGGATAAGCACCTTCGAGTCTTTACCAAAGTCTAACTAGTTCATTTGGAGATCTTTAGTTTGAACACTAGAGGGCAGTCAGTGCCTGTTAATAGACCTAGTTTTGTCACCAATTTTTTTCTTTATGTGTGAAGATTCGGGAGGTTGAACTTACTTTCATAGCACAGTGACTGTTCCAAAAGACGAGTCCATATAATGAAAAAGTAGGATGTGATGCCACGAGCCTGTAGTACCGGGGATGTACTCAGGAGGTCATCCTCCAGAACTTAGAAGAACATACCTAAGCTCCATGAGATCCTTTAAAAGAAAGGAAAGAAAGAAAGAAATGAAACAACAGTGACAGCAAACTGGATTGGTGCATGATATGTTCTTAATCTAAGATCTGTAACGGGGCTGCTGAGAGATGCCTCAGAGGTTAAGAGCACTGGCTGCTTTTCCTCGGTTTGATTCCCAGTCGCTTAAAACCCTCTGTAACTCTAGTTACAAGGGATCTGGCGCCCTCTTCTGGCCTCTGGGGGCACTGCACAAACGTTATGCAGAGACAAGTAGGAAAACACCCATACACATAAAATCGAATCAAATCTGTAATTGTACCAAGTTGGAAACTTTTTTTCTTTTCCTTTTTCCCAGAGCTGAGGACCGAACCCAGGGCCTTGCACTTGCTAGGCAAGCACTCTACCACTGAGCTAAATCCCCAATCTCAAAGAATACATAAATAATTTTTTTTTTTGGTTTTTCAAGACAGGGTTTCTCTGTGTAGCTTTGCGCCTTTCCTGGAACTCACTCTGTAGACCAGGCTGGCCTCGAACTCATAGAG